TTAAATTAAATAATTTGAAAATATAAAACTGCTAAATGTATTTGTAGTGCTGGGTTTAGGATAAAGTTAGTGTGAGATGACAGAATATATAGTCTGTACAGTATATAAATCATTACATTCATAGGAAGTCCCCATAAAACATAAAAAACGCATTATGTCTGTACAGTATGCATGTGTGTGTGTGTGTGTGTGTTTGTGTGTGTGTGTGTGTGTGTGCCTGAATGAATGCATGTGTAAGTGTGTATTTGCATGTGTGTGTGTGTGTGCATTCAAGTGTGTGTGTGTATGCGTGTGTGTGTGTGTGTGTGTGTATGCACGAGTCTCCTCCTCCTGTAAGGTCTGTAGTTTATGTAGGTCAGCTCCACTGAGAAACACTCTTTCTAGATGCATGCAGTTCAATATATGCAACCATCCATAGGGTGCAATGACAAAAACGCAACGCCTGCGCGCACCACCTTTAGGGGCAGACAAATATCACAGACATCCTGATATATAAAGCGTAATGATTCACATATTGTATGTGAAAGCGCTGTGAAGACGTACATGCAAAAATGCCTGTTGTGAATAATTAATATGTAAATGAGTTATTTATGTCATGTAATCTCCGGTCCGCATTATATACGGTCACATCCGAGTCCTTCAAAGTCTTATTTACCCTGAGCAGACTTCATTTTAACCGAATCCGTTCGTTTAATGATGTCTAATGATTAATTAAATCTGTTGTGCCTTTCCCTCGCTTTAATGAGGCAGATGATTATGCGGTCCGTTAATTGGAACGAGCGCGTTCAATCACTGGATTCCTCTGAGTGTGGCGGAGAGTGTCAGAAAAATATACGGATGCATTTTACTTTTGGTAAATGAATAGTGACATCTGCTACACGTGTTAGAGCCGTGGGAGTAGAGAATGCCGCGCAAGGTAAAAAGATTCATTTATCTTCTGTTTTTGGGCAGAAATCTTCTGACGATGATGCGTAATCATGACTTTTTTCCCTTACTATATACAGTAAGAGCTTACAGAGTGTAATATATGAATGTTTATACACACATATATATACATACATACATAAATATACACACACGCACACACACACACAAACACACACACACACACACGCACACACACACACACACCAATTGGTTCTGGTTCTTGAATCTGATTCGAGTGGATCTCTCTCTTTTGTATGTTGCAGTGCTGTATTGATACCATAGTAATTGAAGTGTATTGAGTGTGAGATGGGACTCGCATATTAGAAATGTGTGTTGTGTTGGCAGAAATACAGAAGAAATGCTCGGATGTGTTTACCATTTTTCCTTATCGCAAACACAACAGCCATTTGCGCTGCTTTTTTTTTTTTTTTTGATTAATTATTTTGATATCCCGATTGCAACAGAGAAATACTGTAGAATGTAATCGACTGTAATACTGTAAGAAGATGTCTTTGTAGACTGATGGCATTTCAGGTCACGTTCAGCCTTATAATCTTAAAATGTCAGCAAAAATACTTGTTTTGTTATAACTTTAGACATTACGCTAGAGAATCATTCAAACACTAGCTTTAAAGAGATGTTGGTGAATTAGTGAATGCAATGAATGCAATATCACACGGAATACATGGAATTCAAAACTGGAAAATATTTTGAAATATGATATAGAATTGCATAAAAAACACTAACATTCTAACAAAATATATTGTGAAAAAAAGAAAAAAATTGCCATCACTGACCCAAAAGCTAGGATAGATGTGGAATGTGCCATAATAAATTAATTAATATTAATTTTATGTTCAGTTTTCATTAATTAGTTGTATTTATTTAAATTAATATATTTAATTATTATTATTATTATTATTATTATGCTAGAATTATTGATATTACTGTTGCTGTCTTTACAGAATATGAGTTTTATGGCTCGAGGCCTTAGTGTCCCTGTCTCTGTCGCCATCTTGTGGCAGAATGTCACCCGTCTTTGGTCTGCTCAGTATGACAGGCTGATGGCCACGAATGCGGTAAATCTTCTATAAATATTTAAAATAGGCACCATCCTTATAAATTAAACTGCATAGTTGTAATCTAAACAACTTCCACATTCTCACCTAAAAGCCTCAAAAGTGCATTATGTTGTCCAACAGCTGCAATATACAATATTTGTCAAACTGTCATGAGTTTATGGATCTGCTGTCACTCGAAGTGACACAAGAGTGAAGAGGCTGTAAAGAATGCTGTTATTGCAGAATATCGCACATGTATCAACCAATCAGATTCGAGAATCAGACAGAACTGTTGTGTATACAGTTAAAGTCAGAATTATTAGCCCCCCTGAATTTTTAGCACCCCTGTTTATTTTGACCGAATTTCTATTTAATGAAGAGCAGATTTTCTCAACACATTTCTAAACATAATAGCTTTAGTAACTCATTTCTAATAACTGATTTATTTTATCTTTGCCATGATACAGTAAACAGTATTTGACTAGATATTTTTCAAGACACTTCTATACAGCTTAAAGTGACATTTAAAGGGTTAACTAGGTTAAGTGGGTTAACTAGGCAGAATAAGGTAATTATGCAATTTATTGTATAACGATGGTTTGTTCTGTAGACCAGGGGTTCTCAACTGGTTTGGCCATGGGACCCACATTTTTACATGGTCATCAAGCCGCGACCCAAATTTTTAGGAACTATAATACAATTTTAGGAATTATAATTAATTTGTATTTATTTGTTAACATACACAAGTAGTGACAGATAATCATAAGACATTCACAGAGACCTACAAATAAACATTTTATTGCTGTCATTTAACAAAATGGATCAAATTATAGAAATATTACAAAGTAAAAACGACAAATACTGTAAACAGTGGTTAGGGTAAGGAAATGTTTAGTTACCATGAACTAAACTGAACTGTTAATAAAACATGTATTCTGGTTTCTAAATGTCGTTTTAGTTTAGAAGGTTTCATGCTCTCTTATGAGAACACCTAAATACATACATACATATTCGGGGTCGTACTTGCGCTTCGACATATTTGTTGTTATAATTGAATTAAATATCACATGTCAAACGGTAGGGTTGTCGCGCACAAATTTCAAAATAAAAGTCCGGTATATGCAAAATAAGTAAAAAATTTTACTTTTGTTGTTTTTTTGACCACACACTCCGCGACCCACTGAAAATGTTCCCGCGACCCACTTTTGGGTCGCGACCCACCAGTTGAGAAACACTGCTGTAGACTATCGAAAAAAATAGCTTAAAGGGGCTAATAATTTTGACCCTAAAATGTTTTTTTTTTTTTATTAAAAACTTAAAAAGCTTTTTTTATTTTTATTTTACAAAGTATTATCAGACATACTGTAAAAAATGTCCTTGCTCTAGTAAACATCATTTGGGAAATATTTAAAAAAGAAAACAAATTCAAAGGGGTTTAATAATTCGGACTTCAACAGTATAGTATTTAAATACAGCCAAAATTATTCTGATTGTCATGTCTGTTAGCTGTTCATACGTTCTGTGTTTATCGTATGCTGTATGTTTGCACTGTAAATTAAAAAAAAAAACACGCAACTTAACAAAATACATACTTATAAAAGGTTAAAAAAACTTAAAAATACTAATATTAGAAAACTAGAAAACAGCAAAACACAGCAACTTGATGTGCGTATAAGTGTGTGTTTCTCTATGCATATTTACGAGATTGATCAGTAGATTTACAATATAAAAAGCAGATCTGCTAATATGCATAATATCATATCTTTAAAAAAAAGAACAACCCCGAAAGCTTCAACAAATGTAGCTCGTTCACCAAAGGTTCAGATGCACAATTATAAGTTAAAGTAAAACACTTCAGGAGCCCCAGAGGCACAAATTGCTGAGACCCAGCATTATAATCCTGCATAATTATGGGGCCCACTGGAGATGACGACTGTTGTGTCACCGGCAACAATAGACAAAGCCCATTTCAGCTTCTGTTAGCCTTTAGCACAACTTTCGCACCTGCAGAATCAGCTGTCTGTTTTTATAATTGGATTGTATCTTTACACCTTAATAAATACTAGAGTCTCTTGGGCAATTTTTAGAGGGATGACACTTTAAACGAATTCAATTATTTGGTCGTGCTCATTTTCAGTATAATCGAGACTTTAGAGGTGTTCATAACATGGCTTAACACACTGCAACGAGTTTTTATAAATTTTTATCTTTCTAATTGAAAGCTAAAATGCTATGACATGACAACACAGCAAACTGCAAGCCAGTAACAGTCAATTAGAGCATTTATGGTACATGACAGCACTGTACTTCAAATATAATCTTCATTACTACAGAACTCTTCGCCTGGATTGCGGCGGATTCATTCTACATTACAATATTTTTTCAGAATGTACAATTTTGATGCTTTGAATCTGGGGTCATAAAAAAGAAACATGTCAGACTTAGAATTGGTTCCCGACCAATCAGCACTTTCATTCTATAATGATATGCATGATGTTAAGTGTCTAAGAGATCTAGAAACAAGAGAGTAAATAAAGTGGTTTCTGAAGTGATGTGGTTTGTACTGGCAGTTATTTTGAATCGTTCCTCTATTGTATAAATCAGTTGGGTTACAATATCAATATACAATATACAATATCAAAATTAAACAAACAAAAAATAATAATAAATGAAACAAGAAAGCCGAAGGTTAAAACAAAGCCAAATGAAATGAAACAGAAAACAAACAAACAAATAAAAGAAAACAAAAACAAACTGAAATTACACAAATAAATAAAAACCTGGTATAACAAAACAAAACCAAACAAAACAAAGGAAAATAAAAGTAACTCATCTAATCTAAGCTAATTAAATATACAAACAAAACACAACAAATTGGTACATGTACAAACAATACAAAATGAAACAAAATAACAGGCAAAATATATCTAGCTAACAAAATAATGTCTGTATTTATGAAAAACATCACAAGGTGTTAAAAAAATAATCAATGATTGTAGTAATTCAACTCACCAATATCAGCTTCTTTGTGATTCTTTATGAACTCTGCAAGCTCAAAATTTCCAGCAATTATTGCCACCTTGAAAAAAAACACACACAAACATGCACACAACATATTAGATGTATAGCTTTATCTCATACAGTATTTCAATAAAAAGTGCTCCATCTTTTTTGTCGTTGTTAAGGCTGCATAAAAAAATTCTCAAAAAGAAACAAAAATGAAAAAAATATTAGCGATAGAACAAATTCTCAAAAAAAGAGTGTGTGAGTCAGCAAACTTGGAGTCTGACCCACTGATGCAGAAATAAGACCACTGTTAGATAACATCTACTGTAGAGGCATATTATATGTTTTCATCAGTTTACTGCTAATAGATTTTTTAAACAACAAATTAAATAATTTCTAAATCATTTCATTTACCAAAAATATTTTTTGGCAATACATTTTTAGGATTATTTGATTGTGTATATATATATATATATATATATATATATATATATATATATATATATATATATATATATATATATATATATATATATATATTAAAGAATATGTATCAAACAGCAGGCCTATAAGTTATACTTATTATAAAACTGAGATTAACGCAAAAACGCCATATTAAAAAAAGATAACATTTGTACGTTTGTAAAATTTACTTAATACCTACAAATTTCATATTTGTTAGGTTTAGCTTGAAAAAATATATATATATATATTTGAACAAATGAATGCATTAATACCAAATAAAGACATTAATTTCTTTAATAAATAAATTTCATAATTAAATTCAATATTGGCCAAATATCTGACCACTAACTTTCAAATAATAGAGTGCATGCTTAATTTTATTCTAAAATTGTTGATAAAATGATCCATTTATTTTGTCTTTGTAATTTATTTTTGTCTTTTTCCTTGTCATCTCACGTAGACAAAGCAAAATAAAATCATTGCACTAAATACACATGACAAGACCTTGATTTAAATGACTTTTTTTTTTATTCGAAATATTTGAATGTGTGTTTTATTCCTGTGATGCATAGCATAATTTTCAGCACCATTATAACACTTTCAAGTGTCACATAACACTTCAGAAATCTTATTTTAATATGCTGATTTACTTTTTGAAATGTTGAAACCAGCTGTGCTGCTTAATATTTTTCTCCAGGATTCTTTGATAAATAGAAAGACCAATTGACAGGCTTTTTGTTAAACAAAAATCTTGTGAAATGTAATGTAAAGACTTTAATGTCAATTTATTTCCTCCTTACTGAAATAAAAAGCATAAAATTATAATACAAAATAAATTATAATAAATTATTCCTACAACATTACTCCAAAAATCTGTCCTATTTTTTTATTAATTATTTTTTTAACAATACTCAGAAAACACCATTGAATATTGACCATAGAACGGCGAATAAATAATACAACTGGCTTTTTTTTTTTTAATTCCCTGCAAAGTATAATGAAACCTTCACATGAAAAGCCTTCACACCTATGAAAAAAAAAAGAAAAAAACCTTCAATAGAACGACTTCCCATTCAGTACCATTCAGCAGAGCTCAATTTCGATTTAATGGCTTTAATTTAACCATCCTTTAAAAAGTTAGTTACACAGTCTATTATAAGATCTATAATTTGCGCATCAGTCTGGTCACCAAAGTCTGGTTGTGAGAACAAAACTGGGGTTTAAAAGGTTCACAAAAGAACAGGAACACATTATGCTTGTAGTGCATTCATAAAAATGATAAAAACACACTAAATTAACTTAAGATTTGCACATTCCTTTACAAACGAATTACAGTGCTTGGTTGCAGCAAATAAAGAAATAATGCTAGTTTTATAATCCATTCAACACACAAAAAAAAATACAAAGTGATTAGAAACTGCAAGTGCTTTAAGACTCTCAAAATAAGCATAATTGTTAATTATTATTAATTTAATTTTGATGTAAGCTTTTGCTAATTTTGGACTCTAGTAGGTATAGAATTCAAAAAAGAATTTTGTGAAATTATCTATGACTTTATATTAGTGTCTTGTATATATAGAAAGGCATCACTTAGTTCATCTGAAAGTGATTTTATGCAAGCAGCATGAATTTCATAAGTTTGAAAAATGTTATTTTATTTTATTTTGATGTTGATTTGTTAGAAATAAATGTCATTAGAATGTATAGGAATTGAATTAAATCCAGTAATTCTCACATTAAAGTTATTTTAATATAAATTTTAAACAAATATAAATTTAAACAGAATTTCTCATCAATATTGAAAAAATATTTAAAAATTATTTTGCAAGTTTTTTCAAAAAGAACTGAAAAAAAATGAAACAAAATGCCTGTTTTGAATGCATTATGTGGATAACAAAAACAAAAAACAGGAACGTGAGTTAACAGACAAAACAAAAGGCCTAAAATTTTGAAACAAAAATAATTTCTTATTAATAAAAATGAGATTCCCGCAATAACGCCATACTAAAAACCAAGATAACATTTTTATGTTTATAACATTTAATTACTAACTACAAATTTCATATATAATAGGTTTAGTTTTGTAAATTCTTACATTTTCAAAGAGATTCTATGTTGTTAAAAAGAACTTTGATGCAGAACTAAATGCCTGTTTTAAAAACATTGTGTGGATAACAAAACAAACAGCAAAGCAAGTTAACAGACAAAACAACAGGCTTATAGTTTTGAAACAAAAAGAAAGAATTTCTTATTTTAAAAAATGAGATTCCTGCAATAACGCCATACTAAAAACAAGATAACATTTGTATGTTTAGAACATTCAATTATTAAGTACAAATTTCATATATAATAGGTTTAGCTTGGAGAGATTTTGTGTCAAAAAGAACTTTGATGCAAAACAAAAATGCTAGTTTTAAACGCGTTATGTGGATAACCAAAAAATAAAAATAAATAAAAAATCAGCAAAGCAAAGTAAGAAACAAAACAACAGGCCTATAATTTTGAAACAAAAAGAAATAATTTCTTATTAATAAAAATGAGATTAAGGCAATAACGCCATACTAAAAACAAGATAACATTTTACATTTTAACATTCACTTAATAACTACAAATTTCATATATAATAGGTTTAGCTTGAAAATATTTTAAGTTCTCAAAGAGATTCTATGTGTCAAGAAGAACTTTGATCAAAAACAAAAATGCCTGATTTAAATGCATTATGCAGATAACAAGAAGAAAACAGGAAAGCAAGTAAACAGACAAAACAACAGGCCTATCATTTTAAAACAAATAGGTCAAAGGAATTTACTCAGCTGTTAAATACGATTCACACAAGCAGTTTTGCCTGATGTGTCATACTAAGCCCACATTGCTGATTAAAATCCCTGACCTTTCGTTTTCTGCAGTCGACCCCGTACCATCATTCTTGCAGCCAATAGTGAAACAGTAACACAATTACCTCAGCATGCTTTCCATTCGGCTGAGGAGAAGTTCAGTTTAACCAGGCGGATCAGCAGAGCTTCGGCCTGAAGTTTCATGAGCCGCTTAAATGAGTTGTAATCGAGCGATCGCCGAGGCGTGAAATATGATTTCAGCGGCATGAGATGAATAATACAGCGCATTAAACAACGCATCAGGAGAGCGCTGATATGTACATTACATAAACACTTCACTCCTACATCAGGTTTGGAGAGAAGCAGGGTCAGTTCAAAGCTTTAGAGGTTGTAAACCGATCAACCAGCACAATGAGGCCAGTCATGAACACTAAACGCAGAAGCAAAATGTTGAGCTGACAGCAAAACTAATGATTTCATCTCTATTTTAACTCTTTTGGAGGCTTGCCATTGGATTGCTGTTGCAATATGTGCCATCTAATGTGCTAATAAAAGACACCGTTTTTCCTTGAGGCACAAACAACAATGCGCTTTCAGAAATGTACTGTAAAAGAATGCATCGAACCGAGTGTTTTAATATGTTATTGATACTGGTTTGAAGACAGAAAAAGGTGGTAAATGTTTAATCATAATGTACAGAAAATGCTGAATCCTATACTGTACAAGGCTGGATGAACAGGGCTATGTGTTATGAGATCAAACTGTGGAATAAAATGCAACTGTAATATGCAACAAAAAGCTGTTTCATTCTGGTACATTGCATTTTGAAGATAATTTCTTGTAACATTTGAGACTTTCAAATATTATATTTTGTTGCTTCCTTCGAATGGACATTGTATCTGTTTATCTGTACATCTTTTTATGAATCTCATGAGTTATTTAGGGTGCTTTCACACCTAGGCTTTTGTTTCAGAACCTGACTCATTTGCCCAATAAGCACGGTTCGTTTGGCATATGTGAAATCAGCAACCGCACCCGGATCCGCGCCAAATCAATTGGTCCGAGACTGCCTGAATGAGGTGGTCTCGGATCGATTGAAACGAATTCTGGAGCGGATTGATTGTAGTGAGAAAGCAAACAATCAGAGATATATGGATTTCTAGAATTATGAGTAGGGCGAGATGTCATTCCTACCTGTAAATGTGCGTTTCATGTCTAATACGAAAGTGAAAGCATGCTAAACAATTAACGAGAGATGTTTATTCATTAGGAACATTAACCGAACTGCAGTCTAGCCAAGGGCTATAAATGAGAGAGTCTAACCTGATTTATATCTGGTGACGAAGTCTGTGGGCATCACTATTGAAAATTAAAGTGAAGCTTTTTGCTTATAATGTTTATAATGGTCAACGCCATAAATTAAAATACGGACACAAGGAAGCTGAGCGGGACTCTGCAAAATAAACCATGAAACTCTGACCAATGTAAGCAGAGTTAACTCACACATAACTTGTTTTAGCTCTTTTTGGTCTGTTTAAAAACTTTGCCGCATGAAAGCGAACAGCACCAAGAACAAAGAGCAACGCTGTAACAATTTTAATCCCTGTTTTAGAACAACTGAATCGATTCACAGGTGTGAAAGCACCCTAAATCTTATTTTACTTCTCATTCTTAGATTTATTAAAACTTCTGCTTTCCTTTTTCAAGTTTTTTTTTTTTTTTTTTTTTTGGTCATTATAGAACAAATTTACTTTTTTGGGTGGGGAGTTTGGGG